ACCGTATCCTTTCTTTAGGCGATCAAGTAAACAACAAAAATGTGTAGTATCGGGAGAATGAATAATGAACTGCAGTTTAACTGATATGTCAAAATGTTGTAACAAACATAGCAACTATGTGCATATTCTCTAATCCATATCAAACCAAATTTCTTGAAATGCGACAAAAGCAGAACATAGTCAAATCTTTCCTTTAGTCCTGCATTAAACAAGGGCATCCAGCGGCCAAGAGTGTTAAGAGTAGAGTCACAAAGTCTCCCCTATATTAGATCGAAGAACTGGAAAATATTACTTCAGATATTAGGCATTATAAGAATCGACTCAATGTGACACAATGAATTTTCCCAGTCAGTGTCTACTTAGAACATAATAATAATAATAATAATAAATTAAAATAAAACAAATGAAAAGTTAATAAATTATTCAATATCCGGATTTGCACATTCAGAGTTTACCATTTAATAATAATAATAAAATCATAGCATGCATCCAATTTGAGCTAGTGACCAAATTCTAATGAGAGTATGAGACCTTAAAGAATAATATTTTGTTTTTTGCATTCTGCCAAAGCTTTGTATTTATTTTTTTAAATTGAAATGTTAATATTGCTAATTGCTTTGAAGCTCTGTATTTATTTATTTATTTGCCAGAGTTGTTGCAAACACTGATTACATGATGCTATTATTTTGTTATCTTGAATTTGATTGTAGTTTGTACTTTAAAAGATGCCTAGTGATGGTTCAAGAAAGGATCCGGCATGGAATTACTCACATTTGGAGAATCCGAAAGATACAAATGCCGTCACTTGTAACTTTTGTGCAAAAGTTACAAAAGGAGGTATTTATCGAGCTAAACAACACTTAGCTGGAGGGTATAGAAATGTGAGTGCATGCCCAAGATGCCCATCTAGTGTTAGAGAAGAAATCAAATAGTACATGAGTAAGAAAAAGGAAGAAAAAGATCAAATGAATTTGTTACCTAGTGATGAAATTAATTTCATTGATGGAGAGGATGAGGATGACATTATGGAAGTTAACAATCGAGGAAAAAGGGTAGCCAGTGCAGGCAGTGCTAGTGTCAATTCCTCAAAGATGCAAAAGCAAAAGGGACCGATTAATTTATATTTCACTCCCAGACCGGAAATTGTGGTACAAAAAAGCAAGGAGGGGGGAAAACAAACAGCCATTAATGATGCATGCAAGAAAGAGTTGAGAGGAAGAGCGTGTGCTGCTTTTGCAAGGTGGATGTATGATGCAGGAATTGCATTCAATGCTGTTAAGTATGATAGCTTTGCCGAGGTTGTTGAAGCAATTGGACAATATGGTCCTGGCATGAAACCACTTAGTTATCATGAGGTGAGAGTTCCTTTGCTTAGGAAGGAATTGGATAATACCAATGCTTTCATGAATGACCATAAGGAGGAGTGGTCAAAATTTGGATGCTCGTTAATGGCAGATGGGTGGACAGACAAGAGAGGGAGAACATTGCTTAATTTCCTAGTAAATAGTCCAAGGGGAACCATGTTTATTGAGTCGATAGATACTTCTTCTTTTTCAAAGGATGGTGACAAGATGTTTGACTTACTTAATAAATTTGTCAACCGCATTGGAGTAGCAAATGTCATCCAAGTCGTCACAGATAGTGAGTCAAGCAATAAGTATGCCGGTAAGAATGTTCAATGTTTATAACTTTTAGAATTTACATTCTTTACAAATATATAATTTAAATCAATTTTGATTTACTCATTCTCTTTATATCATTTATTCTTTTTTCCGTTTGGTTTCAAATAGGGAGGATGTTAGAGAAAGAACACCCACATTTGTATTGGACCCCATGTGCTGCTCATTGCTTAGACTTGATGTTGGAAGACATTGGGAAAATACCGTCTATCTCTAGAACAATGCAGAGGGCAGTGGAGTTGAATAGTTATATTTATATGCGACCAAAGTTGTTGAACATTATGAGGAACTTTACTCACAAAAAGGAGTTGCTTAGGCCTGCTAAGACTCGATTTGCTACATGTTTCATCACATTATCAAGTATTCACAAGCAAAAGAATAACTTGAGAAAGATGTTTACTTCAGAAGAATGGAATCGTAGTAAATGGGCGAAAGAGGAAGCCGGTAAAAGAGTTGCTTCTTATGTTTTGATGCCTTCCTTTTGGAACAACATTGTCTTTAGCCTCAAGGTTTCTGGTCCTCTTATTCCGGTTTTGAGATTAGTTGATGGCGAGAGAAAGCCTCCCATGGGATACATTTATGCGGCTATGGATAGGGCTAAAGAAGCCATTGCAAAATCATTTGGGGGAGTAGAAGACAAATACTCAGATATTTTTGAAATAATTGATAAGAGGTGGAATGTTCAACTTCATCGCCCTTTGCATGCAGCAGGTTATTATTTGAACCCAGAATATTTTTATTCAAATTCGAAAATTGAAGAAGATGAAGAGATTGCAAAGGGTTTGTATGCATGCATTGCAAGGTTAGTCCCGGATGTCAAAGACCAAGACAAAATTACTGAGGAGCTGTCCTTATATTCTAAAGCTGAGGGCCTCTTTGGTAATCCCTTTGCTATTAGACAGAGAAGTACACGAGGACCAGGTAAAGTGGTAAAGTATATTAAGTTAGTATAGCTAAGTGTTAAAATTATTTTGTCAATAGAGTCGATAGAAAGATGAAGCTAAAGTTGCTAAACATCATTATTAATTTTTTTTTAATAGCCAATTGGTGGGAAGCTTATGGCAAGTCAACAACACTTCTCCAAAAGTTTGCTATAAAGGTTTTAAGCCTTACTTGCAGTTCTTCTGGTTGTGAACGAAATTGGAGCGTGTTTGAGCATGTAAGTATATACTATTTACTAACTAGGTTTGTAATTTAATTGTTGAAAATTAAAATTTTAATTTTTTATACTTACTAGTTAAAGTTGAATTTATTGCAGCTTCATAACAAGAAAAGAAATAGGCTCGCTCAAACAACGTTGAATGATTTAGTGTTCATCAAATATAATAGAGCATTGAGGCGTCGATATAATATGCGTGACACTCTTAATCCCATTTTACTCGATGACATTGATGAGAGCAACGAGTGGTTGACGGGGAGGATGGATGATTCTGATGCAGAACATGATCTAGTCTATGAAGATGATTCCTTGACATGGGGTGATGTTGCTAATTTTGCTGGTATTGGAGAGGCAAGCAGGCCGCAACGGTCTACTAGATCAAAATCTAGTTCTAGTTCACGGTTACCAACAAAGGGAGCATGAAGTTCTTCAGTTCAACTTGTGGATGAGGATGAGGATGATTCAGATGAGATAGAAGAGGATCCTGAGAATTATGAATCATTTAGTGACGATCAAAATGATGTTATACTTATTGATGACGAGGATGATATTTAGATTCATTGGTGTTGTCTTCTTAGGAAGAATGATGTTTATGTTTATTTTAGTTTTATCTTATACTTCTCCTTAGTTGACTTTTGCATCTTTATGTTAATATGTTTGATTATTCACTGTTTTGAACTCAAGTACTTGATTTACTTGGTTTTGGCATCTTTATGTTGAATATTTAACTTAAGTAATTCATTTAGTTGACTTTTACATCTTTCTATATATTATTGCATGATTTGCATCTTTAATACTTTATTGGGTGGGTTTTGTTTTTTTTTTTTTTCCAACGTGCGCCTTGCTTCAGTCGGGCGCGCGCCTCGCCTTGCACCTTGCGCCTCAGGCTCCAGGAGGCATTTGCGCTTTTGTGCGCCTTGAGCCTTTAACAACTATGTATATATATATATTCCAACCTAAACATATCAGTGTTTTTTTTTTTAAAACTATTAATGCTGATATATATATATATATATATATATATATATATATATATATATATATATACTATTCGCCGTGTCCGTGTCCTAATTTTTTTGGATTTGCCGTGTCGCCGTGTCCGTATCGTGTCGTATCCGTATCCGTACTTCTTAGCACTAGAATCAACCCGCACATAGAAATGTGAGAGGGATCTTAACAGCATTCAGTGAGTACTGAAAAGGGTTCTCCTATGCTATTGCCCAATCAAAATAAAATAATAAAAATTACCCAAATGGTCAGGGTCCACGCACCATAAAATGAAGTATGATTTGCAAACTACATAAAAAGCCACAAACTTTGAAGGTCTTATACATATCAGACAAATAATGTTACATTCAATGTCGCTTCATTGGACATCAAGTAAGCAAGATCACATATTGATTGATTTATTTTAGTTTTTTTATTAAATACATAACAGATACACTTTGAGTTTGCAGCAAATTCCTCTTTACAAATATATTTTAGTATATCCTATAGATAATGCACAAGAATGTTTTTTCTTTAACATCAAGCCATTTTAAAAATTGTGACATCTTCAGATATTTTAACCTAAATTAATACTATATCACGCCTGCACCTGCTTTAGCCCACGCCTCACAGCCAAATTAAGACCTCAAAGCATGGAGTGCATCCACTACAGGACTGTCAGCAGAATTAGAACTAACAATTGAACAAAGCCCCATAAAATAGATACTGGGGACTGTGGATGTAACACAAAAATTTGCGTATTTATTCTGTGTCTCAATTTTCTCAGCAACCAAACATACGGTTACAGACAATCCGTCTTCTTCCACAAACATATAAAATGGGTGTTCTTTATTTGTTGTGTAAATTGATACTTATATATATATGTAGATATCACCGAAAACACTAAATTAGCAGATACAAGGGAAGCTAGACATATGGTACCTGTTAAAGATTGGGGAAGTTCTGGGTTGGCCATTCGTAACCGCATGATGTTATAGGAAGCTGTGTAGAGAGAGTATTTTAATCCCTTTGCTTCCGTCTTTCTATGATCTGAAGTTATTCTATTTCTCAGATTCTTCAAAAAAATGATAAATATCCAAAACAGAATAATTGTAACCAAATTAATCCTGAAATCGTCATAAATACCAAACCAATTACTCAGCGTAGACAATAGAGGTGTCGTGGTGTAGTTGGTTATCACGTCAGTCTAACACACTGAAGGTCTCCGGTTTAAAGTCCGGGCGACGCCATTTTTGCCAATAAATCATCCTTTTTATTATTATTAATTTTTATTTTTATATGGACTTGTAGTTCTGGAATAAAAACAAAGTGGTCCCCCACCTCTAGTCACTTCAAAGCTCAAAATATGATTTATTTAAATAAAACCTGACCTTTTTATACCTTGTTATCAAGATTCAGGTTGTTATCGCTAGCTTCATTTATGGCTGTTTATAGCCATTTAAGAGATTATGCAACTTCTATAATGAACTTGTGAAGATGTAAGAATTCGTTTCTTCTTTCTCTCTCTAGAATTCTTACCCTTTAATAGAATCCAAAAAAATTCTCCCTATTTTCCACCTGTAATGGTCTATTTGTTGGCCATTACCATTATTGTTGTTAACTGATTACATTGGGCCTATATTCAAAAGTTTTCTTCCTTCTGGGCTTGATCTTCCAATGGGCTTGATCTTTCTCGGTGGATTCCCCAGGTTCGGCCCATTCTGGGACGCTTTGGCATGGATCCTACTTCAATTGTTCGACCCGATCCCGTTTCAGCGAACTGTATCCGGCCCATGCCACTTGCTGCATCCTCAACTGCCCCCATAATCACCCCTTATTGATTAGGGGGTAATTATTAGAGGCTGCTAATGATAACCTTACGGCTCGAGAAAATCGTGTAGGAGAATGGACGGTTAGATTTAGGGATCGGCGTTTCGAGATTCAAAAAACTCATTGCTTCCTGACTCCTCGGCCCTTGGGCTCACCTTGTCTTTATAAGCTTCATAGATGTTCCATCAATCCTCTTTACCGTCTCTATCTCACTTTCTGTTGTTCGAATCCTCTCCGACGATCTCTTGTAAAAGATCCTCCTTCCAGTGGCCTTGCAGTACTTTCTACCGTTTTCACTTTCTAAGGTTAGTTTCATTTGCATTTTTCTTTTGGAAGATTTCTTTCTCCTCTTCGGAATCTTCATTCATTCTCACCATGACAGTAGATCTAGACGTTCTTCGCATGAAACTTCACCTCCCTGACGATGTAGAAATTAGAAACTGCCCCCGAGAGGTGAATATTAGAACCGGTGCTGGCCTTTTTCCCAGCGAGATCCTGTTTTCACTCCTCCATCTTCATCTCCTTAGGTTTCCTTTGCATCCTTTCTTTTGCTATGTTTTCAACAAGCTAAATCTTTCCCCTTTGCAAGTAAACCCCAATTTCCTTAGGATTTTGTCTGTTATGCTACTCCTGATTCATGACAGAGGTCTGGATCTGGACCTCGTAGATCTTCTCCTCTGTTACAAGGTCAGCAAGATCAGAACTGATGAACCGTTTTACCACTTTTTCCCCATTGAGAAGAGGTCCATCTGCACGGATAAAATCAAATCCGAGAAGGGCTGGAGGAAAAATATAATTGGGGTTAGGGGAGCCTGGTTCTCTCCAGCTGCGGAGGATTTCCCTATCCCGTGCACTTTTGGAGAGTGCTCTGTCTCTTTTTACAAGAAATATAAAAACCATAAGAGTGACTGTCCTTGCGAGATTTGTATTCCTCGTTTTTGTACTTTCTTGTGCCATTCCTTAGGCATTCCTTGTGATGATTTGAGCTACGGTGTGTGCAGGGATAGGGATAACTACATGAAGCGGTACGTTCTGACCAACGTTCCCTCCTGCTCGGACCTCCTCACCTCAGACAATCTCCTCGATATCTTAGTCCTCAGCAAGACGATGAGCTAACTCCAGATCCCTTCCTTCGGCAGGAAGAAAACTGCCCCCAGGCCTGTTATCACCCCTGTATCAAATTCCTCACCGGCTTCAGCATCTTCTTCTGCTACCCTTTCTGATACCACTCCTTCCACCGATCCATCCGTGACGGCTGCTAACCCGGTCGCTAACACAGCGACTGCCAGTCCGAACGTTACCCCTTCTGTCAACAATCCTCCTGGTTCTACCTCTGCTTCCGCACGGGAAAAGGCCAGAGGAAAGAGGCACCAACCTGATAGTGCCCTCAGCATCGATGACGTTCCTTTGTCTCAGAGGGTTAGGCCCTCTGGGCCGAATGTGGTACCCCTAGCGAGACCTCCTCAGACTAGGCCCCCTACCCCTTCTGGGCATGCCTCCGCTTCAGGAACGGCGCCATGGAACCCTCGCTTCATTCGAACAGACGGATCATCTGTTAAACCGATCGAGACCATGTTCAAAAATGGTCAGACCGCAATGGCTTACTACAGGAGCATGTGGACTCCCAAGGACATTGAGGTAGCCAAAGGTCTGTCTCAGAGGGAAGTGTTTAGCCGATTTCCCTTATCCGCCATGGAGATAACTTCTGCCCCTTAGTCAATAAGTCTTTATACACTCTTTATACTTATTTTCTTCTAACCATCTGCTCGGCTTAACCAGTTGTCCTGTATATCTCTACAGACCCTGTACGGGATAATGGCTATGCAGAAACAAGTGGAGCATGTGAATGCCAAGGTCCGCGCGCTTTCTGACAGCTTTAATGCAGCGAACAAGGAGAACGATGATTTGGCTGCTCAAAAGACCGGGTTGATGGTTCAGCTTGGTAAGATTGAAAAGGAGAGGGATTCGTTGAGGAAGGAGACTGACTCTCTTCAGGATGAGAGAAATGCATTGCAGTTTGAAAAGAGTGTCTGGCATACCGAGCGGGAATCCCTTAAGGCTGAAAAGGAAGAACTGCTACGCCTTCTGAGTGATGAGCAATCCGCTCGGATGGCCTTTGAGAAAAGGGCCTTGGACGAGTGCAACGCTTTACTCGATACCATTAGTAGGGTAAACGGTGGTATGCTAGCTCTGCATGCTCGGTTTTCTAGAGTTGGAGCTCTCAGATATGCTCAGGAGTTCCAAGAAGGTTACGCCGATCGTGTTCCGGATGAGGGTCAGATCGGTTCTACCCCTGATAATGTTGACAAGGAACTGGATATTGACCCTCCTGGTGTTTATACCGATCCAGACTCCTTCGCTGCCGAGGGCATATTTGATGAGTGCCAAGAGATTGCCTCTTCTCGGATCACTCCTACTCCTTCTGCTGCTCTGACTTTGGACATTCTTCCCCTGTCCACCTTGACTCCATCTGTTATTACTGCTGAAGATAACCCTCAGCAGAATGATTCTTCCAACGCTATTGAGGGTAGGACTCAATAGAACGATTCAGTCATTCACCTCGACTCTCCACCTCGTGAGGATGGTGATACCAACAATAATGAGGAGACAGCCTAGCATCATCAAGAGGCTGATGAGGCGAATGCCTCTTAGTTAGAACTCTTTTTTCTCTCTTTTTTTTTAAAAAAAAAATTTACTGACTTTGGTATATTCGCCATCTTTACACCTCATCTTTTTTTTGTAACTCTCTGAACTTTATTAATGAGATGGTCGACTTCTGATCAAGCTCTTTATGTAAACTCTCTCTTTTTTTTTTTAGCAAGTGTTTGCCGTTCGGCCTATAGTGCCAGCTGCCACTTACTTTGCTCAGGCGTCTGGCGCTCGGCTAGAATGCCACTTGCCACTTGGCCCTCTCTTTTTTCTTAGTAAGTGTTTGGCGTTCGGCCTATAGTGCCAGCTGCCACTTACTTTGCTCAGGCGCCTGGTGCTCGGCTAGAATGCCACTTGCCACTTGGCCCTTTCTTTTTCTTAGCAAGTGTTTGGCGTTCGGCCTATAATGCCAGCTGCCACTTACTTTGCTCAGGCGCCTGGCGCTCAGCTAGAATGCCACTTGCCATCTGGCCCTCTCTTTTTCTTAGCAAGTGTTTGGCGTTCGGCCTATAGTGCCAGCTGCCACTTACTTTGCCCAGGCGCCTGGCGCTCGGCTAGAATGCCACTTGCCACTTGGCCCTCTTTTTTTTTTTCTTAGAAAGTGTTTGGCATTCGGCTCATAGTGCCAGCTGCCACTTACATTGCTCAGGTGCCTGGCGCTCGGCTAGAATGCCACTTGCCACTTAACCCCCCCCTTTTTTTTTTTTTTTTAAAGCAAGTGTTTGGCGTTCGGCTCATAGTGCCAGCTGCCACTTACTTTGCTCAACCTTTTAAAGAGGAGTATAATCTTTATAAATCTCAAAAACTTGTACATTCGACTGTATTCAATTAAAAATGAACAAAATTCAGTATTGAATCTCAACTTTTTATTGATAATACCTCTTCAGAGAAGTAGCATTCCAAAGCTTGTTAACCAGCCTTCCGGCCATGGTTTCTAAGGTATATACCCCCTTTCCTATGGCTTCTGCAATTCTGTATAGGCCTTCCCATGGTGGCATCATCTTTTTGACTATCCCCACCTTCTTTTTCAAAACCAGATCACTTGGTCTAAAGTCTCTGTGCTTTACTTTCTTGTTATGGCTGTTCGCAAGTGTCTGCTGATAGGATGCGAGCCTTACCGCTGCTGCATCTCTTTTTTCTTCCAGCAAATCGAGGTTAAACCTTAACATACTGTCATTATGCTCACGGTTCCATGCCAAGCTTCGAACAGTTGGAACTAAGTGTTCGACTGGTATAACTGCCTCGGTACCATACGCCATGGTGAATGGGCTTTCTCCGGTCGGTCGTCTAGGGGTCGTTCTGTAGACCCATAGGACGTTCGGCAGTTCATCTAACCACCTTCCTTTCCTTTCTTCTAGCTTCTTCTTGATACAAGTAAAGATTGTTCTATTTGTAATTTCCGCCTGTCCATTGGCCTGTGGGTGACTTACTGCCGCCAGCTTTTGATTAATTCCATATTCCTCCAACAGCTCTCTTACTTGCTTACTGTCAAGGTTGGTCCCATTATCCATGACGATTGACCTCGGAACACCAAACCGGCAAATAATATTACTCCAAATGAATCGTCTCACATGAGTTTGAGTAACGCTCGGATATGGCTCTGCTTCCACCCACTTAGTAAAGTAGTCTGTAGCCAGCAACACATACTTGTTCTGAGCTCGGGCAGTTGGTAGAGGACCAACTACATCCATCCCCCACTGTGCGAAAGGCCATGGTGTGGCCATTACGTGCAAATCTTCAGGTGGTTGGTGAATCAGTGGTCTGAACCTTT